AGAAGGCTAAAATTTCGCACGCATTTTTATTTTGCCAGTAGGCAGGTTATGTTTGTAAATGGGCCATGTAATTCCACGTTTTCATATAGCCCCCATATAACGGTACCTCCCGATATTCGGTATTTTGATGATTTTAGCGACATTATTCACAGGAATTCTTTTAAATTTTGTATTTGAAGTTCGAAATAGATACCACAGCCTAAGACAGAAAATTGTATGTGCGGGCCCTCGTCTTCGTATAGCCCCCGTATAACGTAACTCCCGATATTCGGTATTTTGATGATTTTAGCGACATTATACACCGGAATTCTTTTAAATTTTGTATTTGAAGTTCGAAATGGATACTACAGCCTAAGACAGAAAATTGTCTGTGCAGGTCCACGGCTTCGTATAGCCCCCCTTTATTCGGTATTTTGACGATTTTAGATCGAAATTGTTTGAGATGTCGTATTTTAAGTTCGTAATGGATGCTACTGCCTGTTACAGAAAATTGTCTATGCAGGTCCAGGTCTTCGTATAGCTCGGATATAACGGTACCTCCCTAGATACGGTATTTTGAAGATGCTACATAATACCCATTTATAATATGGTAAAAGCCTGTAACAAACATTGCCTGTGTGGGTCCCCTATATAACGGCTATGTTCGGTATTTTTAAGATTTTAAGAGAATTTTTAAGGATTTTATTTTTTGAAAATTTCTAAATACATTCCAAATGGTGGAGGGTAATTTTACTGCTTCTTAAATTGTTTAAAAATTCAGATGTACCGAAGTCAATTCAAACACGACTTTTGGGAGACCCACTTACAATCAATATAGAATATACCCCTGTAAATTTAATTTAAGCCCTTATGCATTTTATCCCAAAGCACCGAACAACTAAGGTAAACTTATCCAATATGCTTACATGTGTACACACACACACATGTAGCGTGAGTTTGTTACTTGTCATTTTGAATCTGTAGACACATCAGCCATAAAGTATGGCATATCGCTTGTTTTTGATCTTCGAGACAGTAATTTTAATTGTCCCTATGACACAATGTCACAGACAACATATCCCAAAAGGGTAGCCCATTAAAAAGGAAGCTACGCTTTATGGTTTAAATAAAAGTCAATATACGAAAAAATAATATTTTTTTGTTACTTTTACACATTTGTTCATTAATTAGTTGGGTGAAAAAATAAGAAAACTAGACGAGAAGAAATCTTTTTTTGTATTTTTTTTCGATTATAGATTATGGGAAGCAATTAGTTGGAGTTGTAATGTAAGAGGGTTGTAATAAAATTATGATCAATCGTGGTATGAAAACCATAAAGAAACTTAAATTTACTCACCGGTTAGAATATATCCGCGATACTGACATATAATGGTCCGGTTACGTATATGATTTCACATATACATGTAAAGTGTTTCAATATTGTCTAAATATTACAGTAACACCCATTTTACAGTATTTAAAAGGTTTCAGACGCACTTTATATTCAAATTTGTTGTTACTTGGCATTTCAATATCATAAATTCGGCTATCCATTTGCATGGCAGAAATAAAATGGATCAAAAACATACATAAAACTGAAATATATAAAATGTTCTTTATGCTAGGAAAGAGTTTTGGATTTGAAATATCCAGTACCGATTCCTAACTTTTGAAAAATATTGGTTTCAAATCTAACAGAATTATTCGAAAGGAATTTTGTAAATTTCCTGCCTTTAAATCGGAAAGCTCTACTAACTGAAATTTATTGTACGAATCTTGATGTTTCTGACTGTTATTGATGCTTTTAAACACCTTTTTGACGTGGACCTGCAGAGGCAATGTTCTGTCATAGACTGTAGTACCCATTACGAACTCTAAATACGACATTTGAAACAATTCCAGGAAAATTTTATGAACCTACTTCATTTTGTGCGGAAGCTAGAGTGATTTCCACAGACGGACGGACATCGCTAAATCGGTGTAGAATTTTATGCTGATCAAGAATATTTATACTTTGTGTGGTCTAAAATGTGTATTTCGAGGTGTTATAAACGGAATTACAAACTTAATATACCCTCCATTCTGTGGTGCATGATACAAAAACAATTATACATTTTAACTTGTTTCCATTACGAAAGATCTTATTTCACTTTTTCATAGGCCAAGAACTGAGTTCCAGGGACAATGTATGTCATAATTCTACAACCGATAGGTTTTTTGATATATTACGGCTATCAATAGTATTCAACCTAAACCAGTAAAGAAAGTCTTAGACTCAATTCGGTCGTATGTGCCAAATTTCTTCCCATTTGGACAAATATTGGTACACAATAAAAGGTAAATCGGACGAAGTTATATATGGGAGCTATATCCAAATCTGAACCGATCTCGATAAAATTTAGCAAAGGTATATCTGAGTTGTATTTGATATATTTCCCCGCATATCGTTGTTACAGAGAGCATCATAGTAAGGCTGCCGAGGGCACAAATAACAAATCGGACGAACAATATATATAGAAGCTGTAGCTATATCTGAACCGATTTCCGTTAAATTTGGCATACTTATTTTCAGGCCTAATCTGGTTGTATGTGCAAAATTCCATACTATTCGGGCCAATATTACATATTTGGTGCACAATAAAAGGCAAATCGGACGAAGATATATATGGGCGCTATATCTAAATTTTGATCGATTATCTCAAATTTCAATAGAGTTCGTTCCTGTGTAAAACAAATTATTTGTGAGAAATTTCATCTGAATCCGACAATAAATGCCTGGAAATACGTAGATAGACGGACGGACATGCATAAATCGACTCAGAATTTGATTTTATGCAGATCATCAAAAGGAAGTTTGGGTCTGTCTCGTTTTCTTTTGCCTGTTACATACAAATGCACAAAGACATAATACCCTGATACCTTGATACCTTGTGGTGTAGGGTATAAAAATATAGATAATATTCAGAAAATAATTGTGGTATAATCCTATGTTGGGGGAGACTTTATAAAAACGTTGATCCACATGACCCATATTTTGTACAAATTATTCTCCATATAACCCATAAGTCTGATTTTACTCTTTTATTCCAAGATGGCATTCAAAATTGACAAAATTTGTCAAAATCGGTCCAGACATTCTTGAGATATAGGCACTCTAGCTTACATCCCCTTCCTTTGTATATATAGATTGTATGTTGTTCGCTATATAAATTTGATCTATTTACTATCGGCATCTACGTAACGATCATAATTGACCTTTTCGTGTATTTGTGATTTCGCCGGGATTAAAAATATTAATGGAAATTTTGACTTTTATTTAGCACAAATATTGTGGTCTATTTCACACACTAAATATTACCCAATGATCATCCAAATTGGAAGACTTCTGCCCAGTCCTAAGCACTAGCCCCGCGTCGATTGGTCTATGATTGCGACCTGAAGAGCAACTCTAAAATAAGGAAATTTTTCAGTTTTTGGTCATTTCAACCCCTAAATATTATGCGACCATCCATATCCGACTCTGACCATAACTCTATTTCAATTTTTAATTTCGTGAGGCCATAATTGCGACTTGTAGCGTGATTATTATGAAGTGACTACAAATTCATATTCTCAATGTAGGTTCAAGTACTGAAATAGTATAATACAATTCGATGAAAGAGCACTATTTCGAATTTAATTCACATTTCCCTTAATATTGAGTCCTCATTGAATTTTCTTCACCCTTTCAATAGGCTCAGTCGATTCCGTGTTCTGTATTCCTTTCTTTCCGATTTACCCCTCGTATAATGCTGTGGCATTAATTTGTTTGCTAGAACAGATTATCTGTGTCCCCCTTCTGTAGCATAACTTCAGTTGCATATCGTGCTATTAATTTGTACAAACAAACATAAAACGTGTTCACATAAATATCACACGCACAAACACAGTCACACACACACAAACGTATGAATACTGCATTCATCCATGGACACAAACATACATTTTTATAAAAAATTATCTTTTTCTTGTCATTTATAGTAGTTTCGGTTCAGAATGTGTGTTTGGTTTTTTTGTCCTGGTGTTGTTCTTTTTGTCACATTTGGTATTTACTCTGGATTGGATTGGATGGGAGTTATGCCGGTACGTCCCCTCGTCCATGTTGCTGTCATAATTTAAGAGTTTTATGTGCCCTAAATGTTGGTGTTGTTTTTTTTTTTTCTGGCTGAGCCTGTTGTGGTGCTATTGGTTACTAGAAGTTGAGAGAGAGAGAGTGAGTGATCAGGAAAAGGGGGAGAGGGTGGAGTTATTAATGATGTTCCCGATGCTGCGCCTGCTGCAGATGATGTTGCGGTTGTCGTTGCTGCTCCTGCCGCCGCCGAAGCCGCTGGTGTTGCTAGCATTTTGTATTGTGGTTAGACTGTCGTTTATGTGGCATATTAAATTTAGTTTTTATTCGAATGCGTTGTGGTGATGTTGTTTACACTTTTTTCTGGTTCTCGTTTTTGTTTTTTGTCCCGTTTTTATGAATTTTTAAATTTGATTCGATTTGTGCGTTTATTTTCCGTTCGGTTCATTTCAATGTGACACTTTTTTTTGTTAAACAAATAGCAGAGAAAAAAAAAAAAAAAACTACAAAACCAAAGCGTTTTTGGTTTTCACAATTTGCGTGAAATACACATATTTATTTTCTGCTCATGAAGTTAGTTCCAGTTTTTTTTTAATAAATATAAATATTTTTTCTCGCCTTTATACCAAACTGGGAAATGCAATTATTTTAACTTTTATTATGACGACGATGATGGTGACGATGTTGTTGTCGCTGTTGTCATTCTCCCTCGTGCAATAATTAATTCATGTAAATAATCATTTTTATAATTGGATATTTTTATTGTGTGTTTGAAGATGGGGCGACTATCAGCTGAATGTGTGGCCAGCCATACTGTGTATAAATATATAGCTGCATTATATGAATAAAAAATAAATATTACAAAAAAGAAACGTGAAATTATAATAACCGCTTTGTCTCCATTTCATTTCAGAATACAACCAATGCAAATGCTGATTTAAAATAAATATTTCACAGGTGAGTGCGCGCGTGAAATTGTGTTTGTTTTACATTTTTTTCTTATTTACAACTTTTTTTTATATGTATTTAGATGTTTAAAAAACAAGTTAAAAAGTATCAGTCGGTATTGCCGACAGATATATACCCTCAGCCTATGTTCGATTAAATAATCAAAATATATTTGACTAGTGTTACAATTATTCAAACGTTTGACCCTCTATGTTAACAAGTGCGTGTTGTACCATATAGCGTCTACCGATATATTCCATTTTTATACTTCATCTGATATTGAGCGAAATATGGGGCAAAATTACAACAAAAGTTATTTATGTCAAATTTTATGCGAAATCATAAATTCCGATAAATTTCATATTCATATCAAGCCTCTTATTGAGAGAAATATTTGAGCATAGCAAATAGTAAAGAATTGCTAAATTGTTTCGAAAGTTATGACAGATAAAATTATTGAAAATTGTGACGCTTTGTATAAACTTCACAACAGATTTTGTGTTAGCAAAAATATTTGTGTGTGTGAAATTTGAAAAGAGTTGGATGCTTATTTAGCTTTATTTGTGCGTTTTGTTTTTCAAAATCTTGAACCCTATGTATAGGGGAGGTATCAGAAGAAATGGTTCGATCTATGCCACCTTTATAACAGATCTTGTGTTGATAGAAATATTGAGATGTGTCAAGTCTAAATGGAATCAGATCTTAATTTGGCGTTTTATGAGCTTCATGGGTATTCAAAATTTTGACAATTTGTGGGGGAGGTACCAGAAGGAGTGGACCGATACATTCCATGTTAACACCAAGTCTTGGGTTTATAAAAATATTGGAATGTGTGAAATTTTAAGACGTTCGGACTCTTACATCACATTTTATAGAAGTTATAATTATTCAAAATTTTGACCCTTTGTTGGGGAGGTCCCTAATGGAGTGGACCGATATTGTCCATTTTCGCACCTTACCTAGCACTGATGAAAATACTGGCATTTGCAAAGTTAGAGCAAAATCGGATTATCGTTTCTCTTTGTGCGCAAAAAATATTTTTTGAAATTTCGACCTTTTGTGGGGGAGGTACCAGAAGGAGTAGACCGATACATTCCATATTAACACCAAATCTTGGGTTTATAAAAATATTGGAATGAGTGAAATTTGAAGACTATCGGGCTCTTACATCACATTTTATAAAAGTTGTAATTATTCAAAATTTTGACCCTTTGTGGGGGAGGTCTCTAATGGAGTGGACCGATATTATCCATTTTCGCACCTGAACTAGAACTGATGAAAATATTAGGATTCGCAAAGTTCAAGGAAAATCGGATTATCCTTTCTCTTTCTGTGCAATAAATTATTTTCTTTGAAAATTTTGACATTTTGTGTGGGAGGTACCAGAAGGAGTGGACCGATATTACCCATCTCCGAACTCGATCTAAGTTTGACAAAAATATTGCGATGTACCAAGTTTGGACCAAATCGGATACTCCCTTCGAGAGTTATCGTGCGCACCAGCCAGCCAGACAGACAGACAGGCGGACGGACGGACATCGCTAGATCGACTCCAAATGTTCTGAAACGGATTTGGTCCAAAGAGACCTAGGGTCTAAAACCGTTATTTCGACTAGGCACGTTTTGACCGTATCAAATGATATATACCCTCTGTAGCCATATGGCTGAGGGTATAATTACTTAATTAAGATTATGGAAGAGGGATGTTCCACGTATATATCATAAATTTCTCAAACACCAAAGTCCATTAAAAGCTGAAAATCTAAGAAATTAAATTTTGAAAAAATATAGAGCGAACATATCGGATCATTCGAATTTATGTAAACAGTGAAACTCGGTCGAGTTCGAGTATAATCTTTTTTCCATGTTACTCTAATAAGAAGGAGTTGGGTTTGCAAGTCTTCGAATGAGATTAAAATTCATTCGAAATCGACATTTTCTATTGTTGCCGAGTAGACTTTTAGTTTTTGTCATACCGTCGTCTGTATAGCCTCCACCATAGTATGGAGTTTGTCATTACTTTTGTAACCCCTCGAAATATTCACTTTAGACCCCACAAAATATATTCTCAGTACGTCCGTCTATGGAAATATATGTGTTTTAGGTCTGCAGGACTTTCTGTATTGGTCTGCACTTTTTCTATAGCCCCTATATAACTTTACCGACCTAAGGATTTTTAGGTGTTTTATTAGAATTTGTGTAAACTGAAGCATGGGTTCCCATTACGCAGGAAAAATCCTTGTAGAGAACTTTACATATAGGTCCAAGTTTTGGTATAGACCCCACGAAAATGTTCCTCATTGATGATTTGCGTCGCAGGAGCTCATAATGGGTACTACCTTTTATGGCAGAAAATGTCCTGCATACCAACCTACCTACGAATAATCGATAAATTGATGATTTTAGCTAAATTTTTGAATACTTGCTATTCAATGACAGATAATTGGTAATAGAGATCCACCTTTTTTTTATAGCACTATATACAGGCTGAGATAAAAAATGCAACAAAGACAAACGCCATACTTTTTACATACTTGCTTAAGGCCATTGTGCGCTGGAAACGAAGCGAGGAACCTTATTTTTAACCAATCTTGGGTGGAGCGTGCTGATTGCTATGGTGCTGAGTTCAGCTGGAATGTCCAAGGTCTACGGCCACAATGTTTTCATGCCCAAGGCTTTAATACACCCTTCAGAATATTTTTGCGATAATATTCGGCATTTATTCTGATGCCATGGTTGATTAATACGAACGGAGAGCGACCATCGGCTGCTATGGTGGACCACACCATCACCATGGCCGGCGCTTGAGTTCTCGTGGCCAACCGAAGGTGCACATTTTAAGCTGACCTCACGTTCCACTAAGTGAAGCAACTCCTTAGCTCTTTTGAGACTATTTTCTTTCTGTTGCGGTGTAAGTTTTTGCACTTTTTGGAATTTCAATGGCTTTAGCCCGAGCTCATTTTTCAATATTTTCCGAATGGAATATTGCTATATGTTCAGCTCACGAGCCATTTTCCGGCTACTTCGAGGCGAGTTTCGATCAAGGGGCTTCTGTACTTTTCGAACCATTTCTGCTGATGTTGCTGGTTTCTTCCGACCACTTTCTTGACGTTGGGCTACACTAAGTATCACGGTAACGAGCGATGGTACGAGACACAAAAGATTTATTTACATTAAAATGCTGGAGTGCTCTAAAGACAGCCACTTGTGGTTTTCCATCCAAATATACAAAAAATCACATTATCACGCTTGAATTTCATCACGAATAACTTTTTTTCTGGAAAATTCTCACCAAAAGACTATTGTACGCTAGTAAACAATATAATGGGCTGTCACTGGAATAATTTTGATAGCTGTCGGACGAGTGGCTTAGAAATGACAGCAGTCTAAATTTTGTTGCAGTTTTTTCATCTCACCCTGTATGTGCGCGAAGAGTACAAAATAGTACTAAATTTAGTGTAGGAATACACTTGGAATTATGAATTTTGCTATTGAGGTGAATGCGAAGGGTGTGGATGTGTATATCTACAGTAACTATGGATAATGGACAGACTCAGATATAGGTGCGTTATTTAGCTCGTGGCATCATCGGACCGCAACTCTTCAAAAATGCTGTGAATCGTAATATCCATTTTTTTGCCAAAATACAAGAGTTTGACTTGGCATGAACATATTATTTCACGTACGGGACCGGTCAATTCTGCTCCTAGATCTTTTTTTTTGGTGGTGATATGTTAAAGTTTATGTCTATACGGACGAGCCCGCTTTTACTGATGCATTTGAGGATAACATGTTTGGGCCCAACTTAGACTAATTTGGACACTGTCGTGGTCACCATGTGCATGAAATAACCCTCAAACATCGAATTTTATGCATTCATGAATTTTTTCCTTGATTTTTCTATAGCTCTTTAAAATCACCCTATATAATTGTTCAAGATTTTTTTCGTTCAATTTTGCTGACCAAATCTTCTCTCCTAACATTTTAATTAAAGATATTTAACAACGAAAAATTCCAATCGATATTTTTTCTCAAAAACTATTGCCAATTTCCAAACAACTCCTATTATATGTCGAAAACTTTAAATTATTTGCTGATTTGCTAACGAAAATAGGACGCACTCACCCCCACCCAACAACACCAAACAACCGAAGAAATTTCCCGAAAATGCTTTTATTTATTTAAAGAGGAAAAAAGGCGTTGATAATTACTTTCGAGCAAAAACTACTCAACTAATTTTTGCAAACAAACGAATAAATTCCAGGCCAAACAAAAACTAAAGCTACTGCTACGACACAACAATGAAGAAATGAGCATCTAACATTCAGCAGCAACACGCCACCCGGCTAACTGAACTAAAGTTATGCAAGCTCATATCCTCCAGCTAAAAGAACTTGCTGAAGTGAGCAAAAACAAAAACATTGGGATTCTTAGCAAAAGCGAAAATTGTGCTAAAGTTTGTTTTGCCTCAAACACACCGAACCCGCCTCGCCCAGCCTCCGTGTCTGTGTCTTATTTTGCCTGGCAATTTTAGGAAAGTTTGAACCAACAAATAGGGCAAATTTATTCACATTGCTTAAGTTAGCTTTCAACATTAGGCTTAATGAGTCGTTTCGTAGAAATTTGCGTGTTCGAGAGTGTGAAACAAATCTTTGGGAGTTCAGTGTATATTTCCGTGATACACCATTTCACGAGGAGTGATAATTAAGGCATTGGATAGTGTTCTAAATTTGGGGCTGGTCGAAGTTTTTAAACACTCCATAAAAAAAATAGTAAGAAAAAGTCAAAAGTCAGGCCGACTATATGATACCCTTCACCACTATGCGTAATTAGTAGAGCTCCCGTATATGAATTAGATCATATAACCTATGAATCAAATAATATTGTTGTATAGTGCATGATATGACTTCGATAAGGATTATGTTAAAAAAATGTCGAAAAATGACGAAATGGTAAAATTCGGTTGAATATGAAAAAATCTATCCAATTTGGGCTGATATTACATATAT